CTGAGGAAAGTCTAAAGATGCAGTTTGTTCCACTGGGAATTAGGCATATGAAAATGGATCATTAATGTGACGTGAAAGGAGACTATAAAAATAGATTCATAAGAAATAAAATGCATAAAACAAAGATATGCATTTAAGAAATGGTAACAAATGAATGTTCTGCTCGTGGTAGAGCATGCTACGGTACCTTGCTATCCAGATTCATAGGTGTGACTTCAAGCTTCACACAAACAAGTTATTTCCATCAGCCCAGAAAAGGCAGCCTGTCTTCTGAGCTAGGAAGTCACGTGAGGCTAGATATGATCCTAGATGTAACTTGCTGTTGTGTTCCATTTGCTAAAGAAATAGAAAAATATAAAAAAAACCCCTATATCTAAGGAAAGCAAACCTTAACCATACTAGTCCCATGTGCCCATGGGGAAGGACAGAGTCCTCCTTTTTTCAAAATAATTTGCAAACCTAAAGCTAAAGAAAGTATGCCTTAACCACGCTAGCCCTGCACACCAATGAAGAAGAAGAAGACTCCTTCTGCTTCCCTAGCACACCACTTCTTTTCACAACTTGCAATTCCCTTCCATTGTTGTGTGATGGCAATCTGGACTTCTCTTTGTTTAATCAAAAATCCCAGACTGCTCAGCATAACCGTTAGACGGGAATTTTTCCTTAACAAAACATTCATTTTTCACCCATTGGAAAATATCAATTCATCACAAGTGTCTTTGGAAAGGATTTAGGTCTGGGATGAAACTGAGAGAAGCCAACAGTCTGGGGATTAGGGCTCTGAATCAGAGAAGGGAAGGACTTGAACTCTGGTGTCCCACATCCCAGATGAGTACACTAACCACTAAGCTATTCCAAGACAGGAGGTGAGTCTGTCTCCTCTCAGAAAAATGTCTAAAGGGATGGATTTTGTTCCAACATAGCTCAAAAACAAATTACAATGCTTCTATCCCCACCCCCCTCCTTTAAATTGAATTCTTGTTCTCCAGCCAGCCCAGCTTGGTAATGGTTTGTGTAAGTTAAATAGACCAGACATGTTTGTTCCTGTTGGTATTTAATAGATATTCAGTCACAAAAATGGAACAAATAAAACAGCCCAATCTATATTAAGAGATACTCAAAGCTGAAGTCAAGACCAGGCCTAGAGAGGAGTGGCTCAACAGCTTAAGGTTCCAGAGGAATAGATGGAAATACATTTGCTGTTGGAAAGCACTGTTACTATTCATGTTTCAAGTGCCATGAGCACTTGGAGGGAGTAGGTTTGTTAAGTCTCCCTTGGAGAGGTGTCTGCAGTAGCTGCCTGCTTCTTTGAGGTTGACCATACCCTGGGCTGCCTAGGGAAGAGTGTGGCCAGGAGGTGGAGGGAGGTCATTCTCCCCCTCTGCTCTGCACTGGGGAGGCCACAACTGGAATCCTGCGTCCAGTGCTGGGCTCCCCAGTTCCAGAGAGACAGGGAACTGCTGGAGAGAGTCCAGCGTAGGGCAACAGAGATGATGGAGGGATTGGAGCATCTCCCTGATGAGGAAAGGCTAAGAGAGCTGGGGCTCTTGAGCCTGGAGAAGAGAAGGCTGAGGGGAGACCTTATTAATGCCTACAAGTGTCTAAAGGGTGGGTTGAAGGAGGATGGAGCTGGATCCTTTTTGGTGGTTCCCAGTGACAGGACGAGGGGCAACGGGCACAAGCTGGACCATGGGAAGTTCCACTCCAATGTGAGGAAGAACTTCTTTGG